AGGTCTGATTAAATTAACCACTCATGCTGCTTTAATGCAAAGATGTAAGAAAAATAAAATTGCACAATTGACAAAACATATGAGAGAAATTTTAAAAAAGAAGGATAGAGAGAAAAGAAAGATTCAGTAGTTCAGAGTTCTCTTAGAGTGAAAAAACAATGTCAATCTTCAAAATGATTGATTATATCAAATCTTTCTTGATTAAAAACAAATATTCACCTATTCTATTGCAATGAAATCTCATTGCAAATATAAAACATTTTGAAAGCAATCAAAGATGAAATATCTATTACAATCAAAGAAATGAAAATTACAATTATAAAACAAAATGTCTCACAGAAGTGATGAAGGCTAGAAACCTAGTGGAAACATAATGTTCAAGGGCAGATGGAAAATAACTATCAGTCTAGAATTTTACATCCCTCCAAACTTTAATACAAGTTGAATCTGAATGGGAAAAAAGAGTTCCTAAAAAAGACTGAGAATTGATGAACTATAGATTCTCTCCCAAAACAAAGCAAAACTATTAGAGAATTAAAATCAGGAAGAGGAAATTAAACACACCTCCCCCCACAAAAAATGGTAAAAAAAAAAAAAAGTTAGTGAAAAAAGACGTTGACATACATGTAGGTATATGTAAGTAAACTTGGTCTGTAAAAAAATAACATGATAAATTATAGATAGAATTTATGTTACTAATTGCTTGGCACATCAAGACAAGGTATTATACAATACAAAAACAAGAGAAATTAATATGGTAGATTGTAGGAAGATGTTTAGTGTGAATACACTCTAAAGCCCTATTTGGTTTGCAAGAAGATTAGACATATTGATTACCTATAAACTGCTACTTATATATGTTAAAATTTTATGAATGCACACCAACAGAAAATAAAATAAGCATATGACATCCAGACACTAAGTAGAAAAAAGAAGAAGAAACGAAGAAGCTGTATCAAGGTACCAGAAGGATAAATAGTTGTGAAAGATAGAGACCAGCTTGAAAATAATGAATTGCTTTCTCTGAGGAGAAAAGGTAGCAAAACTGGGAAGGACTACAAAATGTGCTTTAATTCTTTATAACATGTCAGTCTGAAAACAATCCGAGGTCAGTAAAGCAAAATGTAAACATTTATTAAATATTTATGTGAATTTTATTGGTTGTAACTGGTATATTTCTGTATGTTTTGAATCTATAATTATCATATCAGCATGCTAAAAATGTACATTGGTAACAGACAAACTTGGTACTCACGTCTCACTATGTAACTTAAATTTATTCAAATTTTTAGGTTCCACTTGCTAAATTTTTTTTTTCTTTTGAGTTGGAGTCTCACTCTGTCGCCCAGACTGGAGTGCAGTGGCTGTTCCCGGCCACTGCAACCTCGACCTGCTGGGCTCTGGTGATCCTTCCTCCTCAGCCTTCCGAGTAGCCGGAATTACAGGCACACGCTACCATGCCCGGCTGATTTTTTTATTTATTGTAGAGATGAGGTCTCGCCAAGTTGCCCAGGTGGGTCTCGAACCCACAGGATCAGGCAATCCACTCACCTCAGCCTCCCAAAGCGTGGGATTACAGGCTGAGCCACCGAACCCGGCTACTAAATTTTCAGTGTGTTCAGTATTTCAATATTTCCTGCCTTTCAGGGTTGTTTCAACAATGCAAAATATATAGCATAGTACTCAGAGAAAATGTGTCCAATACATGGTAACTGGGAGAAATAAAGAGGCAGCGATGTGTAACCAAAAGAGAGGCAAGTTTTTAAAAAGAAGGAGGCATTGCTTGTTTCACATGCTGGTATCGTATTCAAATTACTGACATTGACTATTGGATTTCACTGCTAGGAGGTCATTGATGAATTTCCCTGAAGCCTCCTGGGTAGAATTGCACAAGCAGAAGACTGTGAGAATGGATTGAAGAGGGCAGAGGACAGAAAGATGCTTGCAGTGTATTGCCTGAAATAAGGAGACAAGGAAAAAATCATGTACAATATTTATAGAAGCAGAAGAGAAAAGGGAGGCTATAAATGTGAACAAATTTAATTAGTCTGGTTGCGGAAGAAAACAGATCAGCAACTAGAGGTAAACAGGGTGTGTGTGTGTGTGTGTGTGTGTGTGTGTGTGTGTGTGTGTGTGTGTGTGTGTAGTGGAACATGTTAACAGACTGAAAGGATCAGTAGAGAGGGGGAAGGTGAGAATACAGGATTAAAGGTAGAGCACGGATGGATCAAGTTCTTAGAAAAGACAAGAGGGACTGGATTCAAGAACACAGATGAAAGCGTTGGCCGTGAGCAAGAGAAAAAAGCATTTGTTCTGAGATTAGAAAGAGGTTGAACTCTGAGCGCTGACAGTGAAAAGTGTGAGGATAGGATACTGAGGGAGTTTACATCTTTCAGCTTCAATTTGTCTGCAAAAGGCATGAGGCAATGTCCTCTACTGAGAAATAAAAAGCAATTTTGGTTATTTTGGCTGTTGTTGCTTGCTTCTTCTTCCCTATCAAGAGTGAGGACTCATGCATTGGGATACTTCATGGAGCATGTTTCTTCTGATAGAGAAGTTGGATTCAGTTCTGACTCTTCTTTCTAAAGAAGAGTTTTTGTATGTGAACCATCCTTGTTTGCAGCTTCGAATCACCACTCTCATTTCAGAAAGACAAGAAAGGCCCAGAGAGGGGAGGGATGCGTAAGAGTTACCAACCAAGAATTTTTGGAAATAAACAGGAACCAAGATCCCACATGACAATGTCCTTTACAAAATCAGCTTTCCAAAAACAGACTCACACAAGCTGTAGTCACAGTTGAATGTCATGCTTCTATTATTGAGATGACATAAAATCATTAAACCACGGCTTGTAGTAAAAGCAGCCATGTCTGGTAATAGAGGACTCTGTGCCCATTCAGAGGGAATTACATTTTAAATGACACATGGTAAGCAATGCCCTCTTGAGGTGAGTGGCATAGTCTGAGATTTGACTTCCATTGTAATTTATTAAACGTCCTCTTGTGATAGTGCTCTGTGGTACTCAAGCTCTTCATAGTGGTGTCAAACTGGTAACCATATCACGAACACAGGAACTAAGAAGGTTTTCAATTTATTGGGGATCAGATTTAAAGTTTTAAATGGTATCTTCTATATTTAAGGGAAATAAAAATGATGAAATGGAGACTTAATGTGAAGACGTATCCCCCTCTTGTAATTTCTCAAGGCTCTTTGTCTAGGCTATTCTTTATATCACATACATCACACGAGCAGAGTTTTGATTACCTTCTCTGTGTCAGATACATTGCCTCAATTAATCTTCACAAAATCCAACGTGGGAGATATTATGGACATAGGCAAATGAGTACATTGACGTTTCAAGATTGAACACGGTCCTCCCAAGCCAACTGAGATTCAACTTCATGTCTGAATTAAGCAACCAGAATTAAAGGGGACGTTGGATCAAATGCCTTTTCTAAGTTCTGAACCCAATAAGACATGGACAAGGAAGTTTTGGCTTCCTTAGGCATTTAAAAAATCAACTTTAGTGTTAATGAAACTGCATTGATAAACACATTCTGTACATGAGGCCAAAACATATTGTACATTCGGCCTTTATCATGGCCCTAAAACTGGCTGTAGATGCATATTGTTGTTTCAGCGCTACCAAATGGTGGGGAGAAATAAAGCCAAATCTTCCCTTCCATGAGTGAGTGGCAGGGATGCCCTAGCCCTACAGAGTTCCTTCTCTTCTTGTTGGCAGGACAATGGTGAGAGGGGCAGGGATCCACTTCTCTCAAATACTTTCAAGGTAGCCAGAGTAGAAAGAAAACACGATTCCCCCTAAACAGGATGCATGCTTTTTCTATGCCAGTCACTCTCTCTGTTTTATTAGTTTGATCCATTCAAGTGCTTTCTCCTCTTCCATATTATGAGCCTCTTGAGAACTACAGATGTGTGATCAAACCAGGACAAGAAACCAGGCAGCCACACATGAGGGCTGATGAAAGAGTACCGTATTGGAGTATTTCACTGTGATAGGAACACTTTTCCATTGTACTTTGGGACAGCACACAGAGATCCAGAAAAGCACTGAGCTCTGGGAGGTTTTGAGAAATTAATTAGGAAAGCTGCAGTTCTTCCCCTGGCATGACCTGAGAACTGGAATCCATCAACTACGTGTATGGCATAGTTTTGGCTCCAAGTGCATTCTGCCAACTGGATATCCATGGTTGGGGAAACACAAGCCCATTTTCTGGCAGAGTCAGTGCTGGTGTCTAAGCCTCAGAGTTCCAGTTCTTTGACATGCTTGAAAATGACTTAATCTGCCACCCCAGGTTTTACCAGAATTGATTGCCTTAAGCAGTTTGCTGTACTTGTCTTCCACGCACTCTGCAGGCAGCAAACTCCCTCTTTGGGAGACCGGCATGTAGGGAATACATTTTGGACAAGATAAATTTTGCTTCTCAATGTTGGACTGATTATGTCCTCAAATTCACCATGGCACTTAGCCTAGTGTCTTGCAATATGTGACTGTTGAATATAGTAGATAACCCATGGACGGATGGATGATAGAGTGAATGAATGAATGATTGTGTAAGGAAAAGTCTAGCTGCGAAGGCTGTCTTTTCCCCACACCACTCCATTTTGCTCCTTTCAGAAAGGCACAAACAGATGCTTAAGCACCGCTTCTCTGTAGAAATCTGACTTCCTTTTATGTGATAAATTTCTCTTCTCTGATCTGAAACCCAGATTTATTCAGCCATCAAATGAAACTCACCGCATTAACAGTGGGTCACAGCCCGTAGAATAATGGCCCTCTATGTCTCTTAATGAAAGCCCTCAAGTTCATTTTTTAGTTCTTTTTGAGATATGATAAAATCTTTTTTTATGTGTACTAAGAAAAAGTCCCTTGGAATTAAATCGTAAATTGTAATAATAGCTAGCATTTTTTTAATGTTCAGTATGTGCGAGTGCTGTGATAAACACTTGACATAGATTATCTCATTTAATCCTCACAGAAACCAAATGAAGTGTTTACTGTCATTATCTGTGTTTGATGAAGAGGATACTGAGGCTCACAGAGAATTAATAATTTGTCCAAGATCATCTACTGTCGTATAATCAAGAGTGAATGCCCTGAAATTACCCACACCAGCCCGGACCAGCGTTCTTTGAGGGGAATACCTACAGAGACCCAGGAGCGGCAGGTGAGCCATTTTCTCAGTGCCAATTGCACAAGGACCTGGCGGGCCAGGCAGCTCACTCGGGAGGAGCCCTGATCTTGAGTTGAGAGGCTTATAAGCTGCCTGGTGAGAGAAAGACCAAACCTTTCTCTGGGATAGTTTGGGGCTGAGGTCCAGACTGTGTTGTTACAGTTCTGTGATACAAAAGAAATATGACTTCCAGCCCTAGTCTTGAACCTCAACATTTATAACCAAGAGCTCACCAGCTCATTCCTTGGCGTGATCGAAGTCCAGGGCCCATGTCTGGTGTATACAGTGGCGTGATGGTGTGCATTTTTGACCCATAGCTCTGTTTGGCCTCATCAGCACTCTATCAGAATGCCTGACACGAGTACTCAGATGTAGCCAGTTTCCATATCCTCTGGGTTTTCGTTTCTAAGAGCTCTTTGGGGAAGAGGAAGTGTCAACTGTCTCTGTGGGTTTCCAACAAGGCAGAGAAACCCTTGCCTATCGCCTAGCATCCAGTGATGTAAGCTTTGCTCAAGTGCCATAGTCTGATGCCAGAGTGCCCACTCTTAAATAATATTCAGCGAGAACCTGATTTCACCATCCCTGTGTGCATTTCAAGTAGAACCATGGTCTGAGGCAATACTTTTTCTTTTGTATGTTTTTGTCTCGTGTTCCTGGTTGATTGATTGAAATAATTATGCCCCAGGCACCTACTTCTAGCCCCTATAACTCATCATTCTAATACCGTAAGCTCCATTGGAATGGGAGATTTAATTTGGTTGTGAACCATCTAAAAATGTGTTGCTGACCATGATATTGATAGGTTTCTTCACTGGGATGTGAGTTGGGGAGAAGGAGAGAATTAAGAGATAGTATGCCCTAGAAGAAATGATAAATCTAACATCACCATCTGCACCTTCTGTCCTCTGTGTGGGTACGTGCATGAGATTTTTGTATTAGCGATGTTAAAAACTTGTCTCTATGCCAGTTGCTTTGAATGGTTACAGAATTGTTTGTTGTCTTGAATTCTATTTGAATATATTGCAAGTATACTTTTATTATTCTCAACACTTCCCCATGGAAATGTATAGATTTATAAACTTTATAATTTTGTTTTTTGAGTTGGAGTCTCACTCGGTCGCCCAGACTGGAGTGCAGTGGCCGCTCCCGGCCACCGCAGCCTCGACCCGCTGGGCTCCGGCGATCCTTCCGCCTCAGCCTTCCGAGTAGCCGGAATTACAGGCACACGCTACCATGCCCGGCTGATTTTTTGATTTATTGTAGAGATGAGGTCACGCTGCCCAGGCGGGTCTCGAACACGCGGGCTCAGGCAATTCACTCACCTCAGCCTCCCAAAGGCGCGGGATTCCAGGCTGAGCCACCGAGCCCGGCTGGGCAGGTATCTTTTTTATAGAATGATTTGAGTTCCTCCGGGTATGTTCCCAGGAAGGGGATTGCTGGATCAAATGGGAGGTCGATTTTTAGATCTTTTGGGAATTGCCACACTGTTTTCCACAGAGGCTGTACTAGTTCACACTCCCACCAACAAGTGTAGAAGCAATCCCTTTCCCCTGCCTCCTCTCCAGCATCTGTTGATTTTTGAGTTATTGATGATGACCATCCTGACAGGAGTTAGATGGCATCTCAGTGTGGTTTTGATTTTCATTTATTTGATGATTAGTGAGGCTGAGCATTTTTTCATTTGTCCATTGGCTGCTGCTATGTCTTCTTTTGAGAAGTGCCCATCCATGTATTTTGCCCACATTTTAATGGGACTGTTTGTTGTGTTCCTTTCAGCTCTTTTGAGTTCCTTGTAGATCCTGGATGTTAGGCCCCTGTCAGGTATACAGTTGGCCAATATTTTCTCCCATTCTGTGGGCTGTCTGCCCACTTTCTTGATTGTTTCTTTTACTTTGCAGAAGCTTTTCAGTTTGACGAAGTCCCACTTGTCTATCTCATTTCTTATGGCATGGGCATTTGGAGTTTTGATCAGGAATTGGTTGCTTATTCCAATTTCCGTTAGGGTGTCGCCTGCATTTTCTAAGATTCTTATAGGTTGAGGTTTTACATTTAGGTCTTTGATCCATTTAGATTTGACTTCCGTGTATGGTGTTAGTTAGGAGTCCTATTTCAATCATCTGCATGTGATCCGTCAGTTTTCCCAGCACCATTTATTAAGAGGTTCTCCTCTCCCCAGTGGTTGTTGGTGGAGGCTTTGTGGAAGATGAGTTGTTGAGAAATTGAGGTTTTGTTTTTGGAATCTCTATCAGGCTTACATGATTATTATGTCCTTGTAGTAAAGTTTCAAGTCTGGAAGTGTGATATCTCCCACATGATTTATTTTGCTGAGGATTGTTTTGGCTACGCGTGGTTGTTTATGTTTCCATATGCATTTCTATATTGTCATTTCCAGGTCTGAGAAGAATGATATTGGTAATTTAATGAGTTTTACACTGAATCTGTAGATTGCCTTTGGTAAGATGGACATCTTAACAATATTGATTCATCCTATCCATTAGCTTGGAATATTTTTTTCCATTTGTTTGTGTCTTCTTTGACTTTTTTGAGCAGTGTTCTATAGTTTTAATTGTAAATATCTTTCACCTCTCTGTTTTAGAAGATGCTGAGATTTTTTTTCTTTTCGTTTTTGTGGCCATTGTGAATGGGATTGTGCTTTTTATTTTGTTCTCTGCCTGTTTGTTGTTGGTGTATAAGAATGCAACTGTCTTTTGCATGTTTATATTGTACCCTGAGAATGCCAAGTCCCTTATCAGTGCAAGGAGGTTTTTGACAGATTTTCTTGGGTTTTCAAAGAATAGGATCATATCATCATCTAAGAAGGGCAACTTAACTTCCTTTTTTCTTATTTGGATGCCCATAATTTCCTTGTCTTATCTGATTGCTCTCTAGAACTTCCAACAGTATGCTGAACAGGTGAGATATGAGTGGGCAGTCTTGTCTTGTTCCAGTTTTCAGGAAAAATGCTTCCAATTTCTGTTCATTTAGCAATATGTTGGCTGTGGGTTTACTGTAGATGACTCTTATTATTTTGAGGTATGTTTCCTCTATGCGTAGGTGTTCAAGTGTTTTTATCAAGAAGGGATGTTGGATTTTGTCAAATGTTTTTCTGCATCTAATGATATAATCATGTGGCTCTTGTTTTTACATCTGTTGATGTATTTAATTACATTCCTGGTCTTGAGGATGTTGAGCCAGTCCTGTATCCGGGGAATGATGCATTCTTGGTTCTGATGGATGATTTTTGAAATGTGTTTTTGGATCAAATTTGACATAATTTTGTTGAGAATTTTTGCATCTGTGTTCATCAGGTATATTGGCCTATAGCCTATAGTTCTCTTTCTTTGTTGGATTTTTACCTGGTTTTGGTATCAATGTGATGCTATCTTCTTAAAATGATTTGGGGAGGGTGCCATCTTTCTCAATTGCCTGGAATGCTTTCTATAGGATTGGTATCAGCTCTTCCTTGTGTGTTTTGTAGAATTCCACTGGAAAGCCATCTGGTCCTTTTTTATGAGGGAGTGAATTTCCTGAGTTGTAATTGTTCTATTTAGGGTCCCAACTTCTTATTGTTTCAATCTTGAGAGGTTGTGTCTTGTCAAAAAGCTCTCCATTTCTTTTAGGTTTTCAAGTTTGTTTCCATACAGGTGTAAATAGTAATCTCCGATAATCTTTTATATTTCTTCCAGGTCAGTGGTTACTTGAACTTTTGCGTTTTCTATTGTGTTTGTTTTGACTTATTCTCTCTTTTTCTTGGTCAATCTTGCTAGTTTTTGTTTATCCTTTCAAAAAAAACACCTTTTTGTTTTGTTGATTTTTTTCTATATTTTTGTCTTCTAGTTCCCATATTTGGGCTTTTACTTTGGTGATCTGGATTCTTCAGTTGAAGTTAGGGCTTTGGTGGTCTTGTCCTTTCCAGCTCTCTTAGGTGATTTGTTAGGCTGCTAATATGTTATCTTTCTATTTTCTTGATGTATGTTCTTAGAGATGTAAATTCTCCTCTTAGTACTGAATTCATGGCATCGCAGAGGTTTTAGTAAGATATTTCTTCATTTTCACTAGTTTCCAGGAATTTGTTTGTTTGTTTGTTTGTTTATCTAGAAAGCAGGATGTATTCAGAGGCCATAAAAGCTCCCACAAGGGGAGGGAAACTGAAAGGGGTTGCCCTCCAGGAATCTTTTAATTTCTGTTTTGATTCCTGTGTTAACCCAGGAGTTGTTCAGCATCATGCTGTTTAATGTCCATGTCTTTGTGTGATTTGAGGGAATCTTGTTGGTGTTGATATTTATTTTTATTTCATTGCGGTCTGAGAAGGTGCATGGCGGTATTTTAATCTTATAAAAATTTTTATGCTTAATTTATGGACGAGAATGTGGTCGATCTTGAAGTAATTTTCATGTGGTAAGTAGTAGAATGTGTCTAACTGTGGAAGACACATTCTACTACCCACCACATGAAAATAGTTCTGTAGGTATCCATTAAGTCCATTTGGCCAAATGTCAAGTTGAGGTTCCAGATCTCCTTGTTGATTTTTTTTGCTTCAATGATCTATCTAGGATTGTTAGTGGGGTATTTAAGTCCCCAACTTTGATAGTGTTAGAATCAATATCTTTTTTTAGTTTACTTACCAGCCTCTTTATAAAAACTGTTGCTCCTATGTTGAGTATATATATGTTTAGGATGGATATTTGTTGTTGGTGAATTGAAATTTTTATCATGATGTAGTGTCCTTCCATATACTTTTTAGTTTTTGGTAACTTGACGGTTGTTTTGTCTGATACTAAGATCATGACTCCTGCCTTCTTTTGCATTCTATTTGCCTGAAAATTTGTTTTTCATTCTCTAACTTTGAGTCTTTGGGAGTCTTTTCAAGAGGTATTTCTTGGAGGCAGCATAGTGTTAGGTTGTGTTCTTATTTTTATTTTTAAATCAGTTTGCTATTCTGTGTCTTTTCAGTGGTGCCTTTATTCCATTCACATTCAGGCTGATTATTGAGA